CTCTCGTACATGTGCTTTCTGTTCAAGCCAAGGCTGCGTAAGGATAGCACCCACCACCCAAAAGCCACAAGCCACAAGGAATCAGCCAGGCGAGTGATTATAATCAGCCAGGCATTTACATTCATACTTGTTGAAGTCCCCTTACACCACCACAGATTGCGCGTCACGTCGCGCTATCGGCAAGCAGGTATGTATGGTCACACAGATATGCATGGTCACACAGATGTGTATGGTCACACAGATATGTATGGTCACACAGATATACACTTCCTGGCCACATGCCCGGGAAAAATAAAGAGCTAATGAGGCGGGCATGCGTTGGCTGTAGATGTGGTGTATACGTATTTGGCCCAATCGTCGGGGGTGCGTGTGTACGCACGTCCTGTACGATTTGTACGTGTACGGTGTACGGTGTACGGCAAATTCTTGCCACGCGCGAAGTTGCATGTCTGTGTGGGTGTGGCGCAGTGGTTAGCGCGTAGGTCTCATAGCTGTTATCGTGCTGTGACTTGGACTATCATAAGGTCGAGGGTTTGACACCCTCCACCCACAACCGCTCGTGTAGCTCAGTGGAAGAGCACCCGTTTAGTAAGCGGGAGGTCTCGAGATCAAAACTCGACATGAGCAGCACATCGCTCTTGCGCGGGACATATCCGCTCTGGCTTTTTCATAACATGATCCATCCTGGTGTGTACGTGTGCGTGTATGTATGTGTGTGTACGTGTACACGTTGGTGCATGTGTACATGGGGTATTTGGTCGTAGCTAGCCAGAACATGCATGCCGGGACAGCACAGCAGCAACACGAAGGCGGCAGCATGGAATTATTCATCCCTTGCTTGTGCCTGTTGCTGGTCCCTGCCGTTGGACACGTACTCGTAATGCACGAAATGCTGCAGTCAGCCGTGTGTAGCCTTTTCTAGGCGTTTAGGGTTTCAAGGACCCTAAAAACCCTAGAAACACTAGCTATCACCGCAAAAAGCAGCTATTCAACGACTAGCATCGGTTGAGTAGATCGGTGAGGTTTTGGTTGTTGGCTGTGACCATGGATGGCACTCGTGCATGCAGGATCTGCATTTTCTGAGAGACACAGCGCGACGAACACTACAAATATGTAGCACATGTAGCCGACAGGGGAACGGTTGCCTCCACCTAAACCAGAGCCTAACAGGACACGTACATAACCAAATACATGCACGCAGCAAGCAGCCAATCACAACCGCATTGACGTGCCAATATCCAAGACTGCTGCCAGGTGCAACGTGAAGCGACCGACTAGTGGCCAGTGAGATGCAAGTGGGTGCCGACATCCGGGCCTAACAGGGGTGAATTTTATTGCCACCAGTGCTGCCGCCGCTGCACATGCCTGGACCAGCCCCCAGTTCATTGTTGTCGTGGCCATGCTAGCGGCTGCTGCATCAGCAGCCAGCGAAACGTTGCCATCAGAATCATTGTGCTGCATCCCTCTCGTACATGTGCTTTCGTTCAAGCCAAGGCTGCATAAGGATAGCACCCACCACCCAAAAGCCACAAGCCACAAGGAATCAGCCAGGCGAGTGATTATAATCAGCCAGGCATTTACATTCATACTTGTTGAAGTCCCCTTACACCACCACAGATTGCGCGTCACGTCGCGCTATCGGCAAGCAGGTATGTATGGTCACACAGATATGCATGGTCACACAGATGTGTATGGTCACACAGATATGTATGGTCACACAGATATACACTTCCCGGCCACATGCCCGGGAAAAATAAAGAGCTAATGAGGCGGGCATGCGTTGGCTGTAGATGTGGTGTATACGTATTTGGCCCAATCGTCGGGGGTGCGTGTGTACGCACGTCCTGTACGATTTGTACGTGTACGGTGTACGGTGTACGGCAAATTCTTGCCACGCGCGAAGCTGCATGTCTGTGTGGGTGTGGCGCAGTGGTTAGCGCGTAGGTCTCATAGCTGTTATCGTGCTGTGACTTGGACTATCCTAAGGTCGAGGGTTTGACACCCTCCACCCACAACCGCTTGTGTAGCTCAGTGGAAGAGCACCCGTTTAGTAAGCGGGAGGTGTGTACGTGTGCGTGTATGTATGTGTGTGTACGTGTACACGTTGGTGCATGTGTACATGGGGTATTTGGTCGTAGCTAGCCAGAACATGCATGCCGGGACAGCATAGCAGCAACACGAAGGCGGCAGCATGGAATTATTCATCCCT